GCATCTGACTGGGTGATGTTTTTCTAAGCAAATGTAGATACATTCATGTCCACATCATGAACTTGGCAGTTTTGGGAAGGACTTGAGCAGGTTACATTCACACCTTTTCTGATAGTGACTGTTGCTGTGATTCCCTCCTAATCTTACATGGGGCATTGCTATGAGAAATAATTTTATGAAGAAATGCAAGACTCACATGTGTTATGTACCATGGAAAGCAAATGGGATAGCATGTGATGGTAAGAGGCAGACCTGAGCAGATACGTGATTTTATTTAAATTTAATTCCCCTCAAACCCCATCTAATTATGGAGTTGTTTTTTCCTTCATTAGCATTTCAGTGAAAATGTGCTGAGTTTGTTTCTAAAAATAAAATACCGTATGTTTAAGGGTTTTTTTTTCTTAGAGGACTTTTTGATTAATTCAGTTAATCCCCACCATAGTGCTAAAAGCAACAAGTCCTCGATGAGGTTTTTTGGCCATATTAGAGTAGGGGTCTTGTGTGAGTGCATAACCAAGGGAAGGAAGGGATCACTCGGAAATGACAGAAAGTGGAAGCCTTTATAAGCAAATATTGACCACTGTGGAGGTCAATTGACGTAAAGCAAACACTGGGTGCAGCAGGGGCAATGTCTCAGTTGGAATAATAATGTCATCTCTCCCTGGCATCTTTGCCTCAGCAGGGTGATGTGTGAGCTGTTGTGCAGCAAAACCCCTTTCCAAAGGCCAGGCTGTCCTGGAACAACTCCAACGGGCTCTACTCCACCTGTATCCAAAGGGCACCTCTTTCCTATAAATAGATGTCCACCTCCCTGAACACGTGCCCCTGGCGCCTTCTGCATCCCCTCCATAGAGCTACACTGTAACTCTGTGTTTTAGAAACATAGTATCATAGAATCAACGAGGTTGGAAAAGACCTTTAAGCTTATCAAGTCCATCCATTACCCCAGCACTGCCAAGGCCACCACTAAACCATGTCACTGAGGGCCTTGTCTATACAATTTCTTGAACACTTAGAATAATTAGGGTTGGAAAGGACCTTAAGATCATCTAGTTCCAACCCCCCTGCCATGGTGACTCCACCGCTGCCCTGGAAAGCCTGTTCCAATGCCTGAACACCATCTCTGTGAAGAAATTGTCCCTAATAGCTAATCTAAACCTCCCCTGGTGCAGGTTGAGGCCGTTTCCACTTATCCTGTTGCTTGTTACTTTGGAGAAGAGACAGACCCCCACCTCTCTACAACCTCCTTTCAGGTAGCTGTAGAGAGCGATGAGGTCCCCCCTGAGCTTCTCTTCTCAAGACTAAACCTCCCAGTTCCCTCAGCTGTTCCTCATCACACCTGTGCTCCATTGCCCTTCACCAGCTCCGTTGCCCATCTCTGGGCCCGCTCCAGTCTCTCAATATCTTCCTTGTAGTGAGGGGCCCAGAAGTGAACACAGGATTCGAGGTGTGGCCTTACCAGTGTCCAGTACAGGGGGATCATCTATGCCCTGATACTGCAGGCCACACTTATTTACCCTGATCAGGCCATATCTAAAGAGCATCTCAAGGGTCACGAGATGGTTTAAACCCTAGCCAGACAGCTTGTTCACTCACTCCCAGTGAGTGGTGCCGGGCTGAGAGCAATCGAGGGCCCCCCCTTTCCCCCAGGCTCTCCCCTTCCCCGCTCCTGGAGGAACGGGGAGGAGGACCGAAAGAGTGCAACTCCTGCGGGTTGAGACAAGAACAGTCCAGCAACCAGTGTACAACACAAATCATCACCGCTACCGCCAACTACAACAATGATAAGGGAAAATAACAAGGGAAGAGAATACGATACCACCGGCCAAGAAACGAGTCCCACCCGGAAGCCTGTGTCCTTCCGGGTAACTCTCAGTTACCCCCCACCCTGGGCATGAGGTGCTGTGGTATGGAATACCTCCTTGGCTAGCCCGGGTCAGGCGCCCCATCTCTGCTTCCTCACAGCTTCCCCTCCTCCCTGGCAGAGCATGAGCCTCACAAAGTCCTTGGTCAGGGTAAACATCACTTAGCAACAACCAAAAACATCGGTATCACCAGCACTGTTCCCAGGCTGGAAGCCAAAACACTGCACTGCACCGCACCAGCTACCACGAAGGAGAAACATGACTGCTATTGCTGAACCCAGGACAATAGCATTCAGGATTTCTCTGTTATACCCAAGAAAGAACCCACACAGCCACAAAAGATAATCGGGTTTATCTCACACAGCACAGCTTATGAACACAGGTTGACAATTCAAACAGAGCCCTTCCTGGGAAGGGCAGAGCTCAAAGTCACATCAAAAGCCGATGTTCCTCCTGAGACTGGCGAACCCATACGGGTCGCCTCCTCCACAATCAGCAAATCTGACATCAGTGCTGTCAGCCCCCAGCAGGTACCGGGGATGATGAGACCCACTATTTCCAAAAAAGTCACCAGGGCCAGTGAGATTTTTTCCCACCAAAGCCATGCAAGGCTGTCAGCCCACTTCCTATGATCACCATCAGAGGTTTAAAACTTACTTTCCCAGAAATATAGTGTGACAATTGTCTAGATATGTAAATGTTGTGTTTCTGCCAGGATTAGGCAAGCCATTCACCACCCGCTTGTGTGGTCAGGGATACCACACTGACATGGGTGACCAAGGGGAAAGCACAGGGGGACCAAGGGGCTGCTATGAGCATCTTACAGCATTTGTTGACCGCTTTGATTCTGTGTCACTCCTTTTACCTGTTCGTAGTTACCTGGATGGGATGGATGGTTTAACTCCTATTGGTAGTGATGAATGTGGTTTTAGGCTGGTGCAAGCCATAGACAGTTGGATCTTGTAGGACACGGCTGCAGCAGAGAGCTGGACCAGGAAGGTATTGCATGACCTCTAGCCGTGCTTCTAAACTATGCACCAGGCAAGAGTCCTGCTCGGGAACTTTGGGTCTCAGTGGTTTCAGTGCATGAGAAGGAGGCAAAGGAGACTGCTCAGGCAGTGTATTTCAGTGCCCTTTCCTGCCCCCAGGTCCCACTGGAAAGTCAAATCAAGCCCAAATATTGTTTGTTAATCATAGCGATTTGTTATCTCAGCCCTCAGCACCTCTGCTGCCTCCATGGCCTTGGCATGAACCCCTTGCTCAGCCCGGGACAAGGCACCGTCACTCTCTACTCTCCACCCCAAAAAGGCTGGATTCGGAAAGGGAAGGTGGAGGGTACGGATGCACGGTCCCCAGGCTGCAGAGCTGTGCGCAACCTCCACCGGGCGGCAGCATTGCCCCCGCTCAACTCACTGCGCGTCCCTCGCGCAAGCCCCCAGCATCCCTGTGGGTGTTCCCCGCGCATCCTGATGACTGTCCCCCGTGCGTTCCCGCACCGCGCACTCCGCACCCCCGCGCATCCCGCCGTACGTTCCCTGCATAACCACCGAGCGTGCCCGTGCGCAAAGCCCCAAGCAGGCAAATGGTTTCAGTGGCCGGGACAAGGCATGGTTCCAGTTGCAGTTTTCTAGTTCTGGGAAGAGCATCTGGCCTCAGGAGCCTTCTGTTTTCCCATAAGTAAGAGGAAGAAAAATCATATTGAAAGTTGGCAGTGAGGAGAAGTTACGCTGCCCAGGACTGTCACAGCTGTGGCCAGGGCCGAGCAGAAGCTGTGGCTGTGCTGGTGCACAAGGAGCTGTCTAAAGACAGCTGCCTCTGTTTTACATTCTGAGGACTGCAAAGGAGTGTGTTGAGGTTAAAATGTGTATTTGTGCACAAAGGAGCAAGTTCCCTTCTACAATGCTGATGCTGCAGCAAACTAAGTTTGGGAAGCCCTGTTTGGGGAAGGAGCAGCGCTCCTTAGCCTGCCTGTCACATGCAACATTGATGGGCTCAAAAACAGAGAGCCTGGGCCCTGCTGGTGGTTTTCCCGTTTCAGACTCATGAAAATAAGAAGTTGATGTCCTTTATTGTCCTTCTGTATCAAGCCTTCTTATTTTAAACAGCTAAAATGTGAGCGGGTTGCTTATTTGGTGAGTGGCCTAAGATACCTGTGGGAATTTCTCGCCTGTGTTGGACCAGTTCCATGCTCCCCAGTGTGAGACCAGAGAAGAGGATGCTTGGGGTGGGGGTCTTGCCCAAGTGCATGAATACCTGATGGAGGAATGAGGATGATGGAGCCAGGATCTTCCCAGCAGAGCCCGGTGCCAGGACCAGAGGCGACAGGGAGAAACCAAAACGCAGAAGGCTCCGTCTAAGCATCAGGAAAATATTTTGTTCTGTTTTGGTTGCATCCCTGGAGACATTCCAGCCCTGAGGGGACACAGCACAGAGCAACCAGGACAGGGTGACCCTGCCCTGAGCAGCTGCTAGGGCTGGTGGTGTCCAGAGTACTCTGTTGTCCTGTGCAAATTAAACATACGGAAAATGCTGGAAACTGCCAGGCAATTAACCAACCGAGTTCAACAGAAAGCAGAGCAGGGAAAGCATCTTAGCAGAAGACGAGCTAAACATTTGACCAAGTCTGCCCAGCAACAGTGTAAAACGTTGCACATGGTGATTTCCACCCTGGAATAAGGCAGCTGTGTGTTGGCGAGGGAAGACAGGCTCTGCCTGAGCAGTGATGCTGTGGTACTGGCGATGGCCATCAAGAATCTCAGTCCCAACAAGCTTCTCACTTGTGGGTGCAACCTCACCACCACAGCTCGGCATCAAATATGTGGGCACAGTTTAGCCCTATGGGGCTTGCTGCCCAAATGTGTCTTGTACAGCTTCAACTCTAGGAAGGACTGCAGCCTTAAGGTTTTCTCTTCTGCTCAGTTTACACAACTGTACGTAATTAAGTCGTACAATATGTGTGTTAAATTCCATTGATGATTCCATTTACCTTCTCCCTAAGCACATTTGCAACACAGGCCTGCAAAAGAAACAGTCTGGGGTTGTTTTTTTTTTCAGTTCTGGAATTCATTCTTTGAATTCTTTTGGTTCTCATTTCCTGAGTGGGAAAAAAAAAAAAAAAAAAGAAGCAGTGCTGATTTAACAACTATGGTTTTGTAAACTGATTACACACTCCTGGGGAGGAGTTTCGAGGAGGAAAGAGCTGTGCAGTTCATAAGTATCTCGGTCTGGGATTGCTGCAGTCTCCTCTGCCTGTGAACGTGCTGGTGAAGGGCAGCATTCCTGCTCGTCTTGAAGCAGCAGCATGGCTGATAAGCTTGTGGAGAGCAAGATCAGGTGTGACAAAGTAACCCTCTTTACAGAGAGAGGCTGCCGTTACTGCAGGAATGCCGAGGAGATGCTCAAGCAGTACAACTTTGTGCCTGGAGCCCTGGAAGTTGTTGATATCACCCAGCGCAAGGATGTCCAGGATTACCTGCAGCAAAGAACAGGGCATAGAACCGTAAGTTCTCGCAGTTGTTCCACAGCACTTGCTGATCCTCTATCCCAGGGCGGCCACACCCTGGCCAGCTGCTGCAGAGGTGGAGGTGAGGGCTCTTTCCCCACGGCTTTTCCTGCCGGATCACGGGGAGAAACTGCAGCCCGCTGCACTGGAAAGGAAGTTCCTTGCTTTGCCCGCCCTGTGCGTCCCGTCGCTGTAGCTACTGCAGGGCGAGTGCTCGGTGCCGAGGTGAGCGCCCGCTCCTCACCGCAGCAGCCGGAGGTGCGGAGCTTTGCCTGCCCAAGCTCTCACATGCAGGGCAGGAGCCACCCCTCCGTGGTCCCCGCACCTCTGCGTAATGAACACAACTTTGCTTTGACTCCCCAGTCCACCCCAGTGAGAGCAACATCCAGCGATGCCCAGGGGCGAAGCAGAAGGGACATGC